AAAAAAAAACTGATTCTTTTTCCCTGCACTTAGCATGCCATTTTGTACCAATAAAATTTGACAAGAATTGCAGTCAAGGCATTGAGTGTATTAGAAACGAATTTCGGCATTTTTCAGTTGGATTACTATTTTTAACAAATAAATAAATAAACCGTGTTGTGTCCGTCTTGCTCGACTAGTTGGCTACAGTTGGCACGTGCGGCCATTCCAGCTGTCAGCCTTATCGGATAAGCTCGCTACTCCGTAGAACCAGGGAAAACTCCAGATACGTTTCCCCTCGCCAATTTGCGTTTCCCCTACCCCGCTCTGTGTACCTTCAGCAAGCCGTCAAAATTGGCTTCTCTAGCACACCCACCGTCTCAAAAATAGTCAATATTACATTCCCAAATTACCCCTACAATTCCTTGGTCAAACCCCACCAGCTAATAAATTCCACGCAAAAAAAAGCCTTTTTTTGTCATTCGAAAAAAGATCACCGACTCGATGCAGCCATCTCCTTCCCTATATATATCCTAAACATCTTACTTCCCTTCATCCAAATCAATGGAGTCCTCCTCCTTTCTCTTGCTCTTCTTCCTCTCCTCATTCCTCTTGCCGACCCCCCTTACCGCGAGGAAGCTCACCGCCCTGGTCGACAAGCAACCGCTCACCATCACATACCACAAAGGCACCCTTCTCTCCGGCCCAATCTCCGTCAACCTCATCTGGTACGGTCATTTCACCGCCTCCCAACGCTCCGTCATTTCAGACTTCGTCACCTCCCTTTCCGGCGGTGACCCGAACCAGAAACAACCTTCCGTTTCGTCCTGGTGGACGTTGACCACCAAATACTACTTCAATTCCAAAATCGCGCCTCCTCAGCTCACCGTCGGCGAACAGATCCTCGACGAGAGCTACTCGCTGGGAAAATCGTTAACAAACGGCGATCTCTTCGCTTTAGCAGCGAAGGGGAGAAAGCAGCGGGCTATTAACGTGGTGCTAACGGCGGCCGACGTCGCCGTCGAGAGATTTTGCATGAGCCGCTGCGCGACTCATGGCAGTTCTAAGTCGGACCGCTTCGCATACATCTGGGTCGGAAACTCGGCGGTCCAGTGTCCCGGAATGTGCGCCTGGCCGTTTCACCAGCCGGTGTACGGTCCGCAGGTTCCGCCGTTAGTGGCGCCTAACGGCGATGTGGGCGTTGACGGCATGGTGATGAATTTGGCGAGCATGATTGCCGGGGCCGTCACGAATCCGTTTGGCGATGGGTTTTATATGGGTCCGGCGACGGCGCCGCTTGAGGCGGCGACGGCGTGTCCGGGCGTGTACGGTAAAGGAGCGTACCCGGGTTACGCCGGCGAACTGTTGGTGGACCCCACTACGGGTGCGAGCTACAACGCGAACGGGGGAAATGGGAGGGAGTATTTGCTGCCGGGTATCTTTGACCCGT